ATTTAAACCTTTCATCTTTCTACATTAAGCAAGCTTCATCACTTGGAACAGCAGCAGTAGCACCAAAACCACCACGACCACCCAAGAATAAGTGTATTCTGTACCCACGCTTCCCCAACCCATCTTGGGCCATGACAATTATGATAAATTAAAAGACTCATTCCAGGGACAAATGTCTTCATAGCTGCTTGAGCTCCTCAAAAATCGGATAGTCATAGGGTTGGGGTAGTGGCTTCAAATGCTGGCCTATAGTGCTGGTGGCCAGCCAGGTGATGCTCTCAGGTGCCAGCTGTTACTTTACCAACTTCTGGTACCTGCATCCTTTGCCACAGCCAAAATACCATGCAATCACACACACCAATATTCTATATTAAACTGGGGTGGGATCCTTTTATCTCCAGCTCTGAAACCACTAATCTGTAACCTGGGTTTCAGAGCACCAGAATCCCCAATGAGAACTCCACAGTGTGTCTAGCTTTCAGTAAGTTTTGCATTGAATCTGGAGGAAAAAAAAAATCAATGTTCAATTTTTGTTCCCAAAGGAAAAAAAAAGTATTTTTGTAGAGACTGGTAACTTAGAACAATGGGTAATTCTCACAGTGAATGCAATGTCTCTGGTCAATAAATATTTACTGAGCAAGAAAAAGATGACATATATTCTCAGAGAAACTGTAGTAAGTAGACTTAAATTTGGATCAGAAGTGTCAGACAAAGGTAAGAAATAGATATAAATTCAGTCAATTCTATAATAGCTGGTTTATTGGAAACCCTCACAGCATTTTTCAAAATAACTTGACAGGTTTTATTTTAATAAGACATAGTGAAGAGGAAATGGCTTAAAAGATATCATCAATCTTTTATTTAACTAAGTGCTGCCCTTCATTTTGAAGGAAATGATACAATTTCAAATTGGAACTTCCTTCTCAAGAAGCAGTATTAAGAACGTAATGTTGATTTAACATACAACCTTCAACAAAAATAAAGTTCATTCACTTCATTGGGAAACAAAATGCATGTGGATTTCTTTAGTCAATGTAATTCTCTATAGGTCACAAGTTTACAGCGAAGACCAAAAACAATAAAAGGCTAAATAAACTACTCAAGTTTATAGTTATCCTGATTTAAGAAATAAATTCACAAATAAACTCTTAACTTTCCAAACAAATCTATTTGATGTCCATGATCATATTAGATTTTATTCTTATTTGTAAAAAATAGACAAGCACATAATATCAAGAGTCTTCAACACAGTGGATCCCATTTTTGTTAAGAAAAAAAATAGAAAACAAGTAGTTCTTAAATTTTCTTAACTCTCCATAGCATATGTTATACAAAAGTAAAGTTTTGCTTCCAAAAAATACATTTCCATGTGGTTGTGGTATTAACCAATGGTGGTATTGAGGTGAGATGCACCAAAGACAGGAGAAGTTAACCCACACTGAGCCTTTTTTTTTTTTTCATAAAAACTAAAATTTTTCTTAAAGGTAGGGAACGATGTTTTCTGCTAGGCATCTGAGTGCTACAAAGTCATTTTAAATTAAATGTGGAATAAAACCTACAAAAAGTATGAGTTCTTTCAATACAAAACATTGTGTAGCTGAAGTTGTGGGCTCCTTCAACATAAGTTCGCAGTCTCAATAAAATATTTGCTCGGGTAAGAAAATAGAATTTGTCTGGTTTCATTTAGCATGTATGTTCCAGTCGATATCCTCCTATATCCCTGCCAGCGCTTCTGAAGAATATTGGCATCGATCATTCTTTCCTTCAAAGAGCATCCGTAATTCACAGTACAAAATAGTTCTAAAGTCTTATTCCTAAGAAACAAAGAGCATTAAATATACTTTTTTTTCCTTCCTAAAGTGCCAGATGTAGCCATTATCAGAGCATTAAAAACTCAAGATCTTCTCCATGTTACTTTATTAAGAACCAAAAATATCTTGACTCTCATTCTTGGAGCCCTTACCAATAGGTTGTTGGTTTACTTTTAGCATCCTATCTCAAGAAAAATGTCCAGTGCAATCTCTGTTCCTACGCATTCCATACTTGGCATCTCTGGTTCCTGTACAAAGGCTGACATTCCCTCCTAGAGCTTCACCTAGAACAGATCTGTTTCCTAATCTTACTTCATTTCCAAGCTCTAGTAGGTAAAAACTTCTTCTCTAGAGGTAGAATACTACTGTTTGGGTGGACTTTATAGTTCTTCCTTCACATTGGGACCTCCACTTGTAACACAAAAATCACTGTTAAAACTCAATGCGATTGGACCATAATTTTGACACAGAGGAAGGACACAAGTTGAGGAAGAAGGAGAAAAATGAGCTTGCTAGCCCAGAGCTCTTGGGGAGGACTTTTCTGTCGCTTTTCTCTATTGTTTTGTCTGCACAGTGGGCACCAGTGGGCACCAGTTTCTCTAACCAACATCTGTTAGCTAGAGTAGGTTCTCCTAAATGGCTTTACTGTTATCTTGCTCTGCTTTTCCATGAACAAGAGAACATAAACACAAGACTGAGAATATTAAATATGGGAAGTAGATCTACATTCCCAAGAGAAGACTGATTCTTCACCAAAGTTCCAGACCAGGACTTGAACAATCGGTATTTATCCCAGTAAAAACAAACATACAAAACTTTTTTGTCAAAAACAGGGAACACACTTATAATGAAAAGGTTTCAAATCAAGGAGCCACAAAAGGTCTAGAAGTTACCAAAGTATGGCCCTACGCATGATAAAGAAAAGGTACAAGAAAATCCTTTGATCCAGGCATGGATGGCTCATGTCTGTAATCCTAACTACCTAGAATGCTGTTATCACATTTTGAAGCCAGCCCAAGCAGGAAAGTCTGCGAGACTCTTACCTCCATTTAACAGAAGGAGCTGGAAGCAGGGCTGTAGTTCAAGTGGTAATGAACCAATCTTGAGTGAAAAAGTGAAGAGAGAACACTGGGCTCTGAGTTCAAGCCCTAGAGCATGAGTACCAAAAAATAAAAATAAAAATAAATTTTTAAAAAAAGGAGGGGCTGGGAAGGTGGCTCAGTGGTAGAGCGCTTGCCTTGCATGCATGAGGCCCTGGGTTCGATTCCTCAGAGCCACATAAGAAAAATGAAGCCGGAGTGGCACTGTGGCTCAAGTGGTAGAGCACTAGCCTTGAGCTTGAGCTGAAGAGCTTAGGGACAGCGCCCAGGCCCAGAGTTCGGGCCCCATGACCAGACCCCCCCCAAAAAAGAAAGAAATCCTTCAAGATGTATCAGCTTGATTTAGAGATCTCAAAGAAGTGCAAGAATAGCCATTGTTGTACCACTCAAGTACAATTCTATTCCACTTTTTAAGAATTAGGTCACAAAAATGACTTGTCCTGTATACATTTTGCCTCTCACAGACCAAAAAAAAAAAAAAAAAGGACCGTCAACTTTACTCAACTTCTGAGACAGACAGCACTGGTGGGCAGCAGAGAATACTCTAGAGGTAAGAGCTCACTCACATTAGTACTTGGGATGGGTACTGGTATTTTATTCTAAAGGCCTCATACTAACTCATACAGTAGTTTAGTTAGCAGACCCAAGCAGTAACTGCTCAGTGGGCCACAGGATTCCATAGTCATCATCCGGTTTCGGATTCTGTCCTGACTACACCAGCCGGCATTTCTGATTGATGCTACTCTTCTTAAAGGATGGCATGAGCGTTCTTCCAGCAACCGGGAGACTGCCACAGCCTAACAAGACTTCGGGACTTGCACTAAACCGCGCCAATGGTGGCCGGCAAAAGTCTGTGGTCTTCTTATTGAAATATTACTGAGATTTTAACACAAAGCAGAACAGAAGTTGAGGGTAAGGGAGGTGGGCCAGTGAGAGGAAAGGGGGTTAAAAGCAAAAAAAAATCACAGGATCACAATCAAAGCGATTTGCAAGGGTTACCTTCACCGTTCAGAAAGCACCGTGCAAAGAGCCATGAACTAAATCTTGCCAGGAAAGCTCAGTTTGGCTGTCTCCCTAGTGGATACTTTATGGGGTGGCACAAGCCAAACCCATCTGTGACCTGCGGATGAACACAGCCAAGCAGGTTTAATTAGACCAGAGACACAAAAGGCTATTCCCTCCTTGGAGAACAAAATACCTCGGCTCCCAGTGCCTCCCACAGCAGGCAGAAAAACAAAGGCAGCAGCACAGCACCTTAATTGAATCCTTCCCCTAGTCTGCCCTCGACAGTGATTTACTGGTAACCTGGAAGGGGAGATGAGGGAGGGAGGGAGGGAGGGGGAAGCAGGAGCCTCAGCCAAGAGCCAGCTCCGGAAAAGGAATGATTTGGGGGCTGGGAAGAGAGAGGTAGTAAAGCCTTTGTTTGTAGCTCCAGTTTCCTCAATGATTTGTTACACTTAGTAGGGGGCCTGCCTGGTTTTGGTTCAGTGCTTCCCAGACCAGGGGGTTTGCTCCAGCTCTGCGCCCCAGGAATCCCACAAGATAAATCACCCCACCGACTCTCATCTCCAGCCGGGCTCAGCAGGGGAAGCAGCAGATAAGAAGATAAGCCGCCCCCCCCTCCACCCCGGGTGTGGGGGGGCAGGCCGGCGGGGGCTCCTCCCCGCGCACCCTCTGCCCTTCGTACCTGGCACCACCAGAGCTCAGAGGAGGGAGGGAAGCCGGGAGGAAGAATGGCAGATGGGGGGGTGGGGTAGGGAAGGGTGCTCTGAACTTTTTCTCCTACAGTTACTTGCACTGGGAAGGGTCGATTTCAGGCCCTCCCCTTTAATCCAGCAGGGTTTTCAATGCCAAGTGACCAGTTTTGTCCCACCGCAGGCCTCGGAAGACCGACTCCAGGAGGCTGGGAAGAAAAGACCCCTCTCGAAAGTGCTCCTACCTGTTCCCTCTGTCCCCTTCTTCCTCCCCCCATCCACAGCCAGCGGCGCATTTCACCAGCTCTCTCTCTCCCCATTTTTCCAAAGGACTCGAGAATCCTGGATGAGGCCCCTGAAAGTGATGGAGGAGAGGCGAGGAGGAGGAAGGAGAGGGTGGGGTGGAGCGGGGCCAGCAGGGCTCCCTTCCGCTTGGCCAGTCGGGTCAGTGCGCTACGGTCTCTTGGTCCTCTTCCTCTGAGCCCAGCGCAGGGGGGCGCCGGGGAGGCGGCGGCGTAGTCCGGGCGGCGTCGCTGTCGCCCTCCAACGGCTCGGCCGGGTGCAGGTGCATGGCGAGCTCCTGCAGTACGGCCGCGCGTCCGATCTGGTCGTTGCGCCTCTTCTCCATGATCAAATCCTCCAGGCTCTGGAACTCGAGCGTGTGGCTGCGCTGCGCCGAGAGCTGGATCTGCAAGCGGTAGGGCTGCTTGCCGATGCGCAACTCGCCGCCGATCTTGAACTCGCGCTTGCCATAGCGGCACCAGGCGGCAAAGCTCTCCGAGTTGCGCCAGCTGAGCTCGCGCTCCTTGGCGCCCACATGCGCCAGCGCGTTGCGCACCACCGCGCTGGGGCTGAGCGGTTTGTACCTGTACAGGTCGTTCACCACGCGGCCGCGACGGCCCTGGCTCGCGTCGGTCAGGAAGCTGTTGCTCACCTCCAGCCGGTGTAGGTGCACCACCTGGAAATTGCCCACGTACACGGCCCAGTGCGGGTACTGCGCCTGAGACACGAACTCCACCAGATCGCCCGGATGGCACTTGTTGAGCAGGTTTTCGGGCGTATAGGTGCTCAGTGCCGCCGAGCCGGGCGCAAAGCTCTTCTGGTAGATGCACTCGTCCCGATAAAAGACCGAGCACTCGACCTCGTGTTGCCGCGGGTCGTAGGGCTGTGGCGGGGGCGGCGATGGCGCCGATCCGTCCCCAGAATCGGGCAACCCGCCGCCGCCGCCCTCGAGACCCTGGGGTGGCGGCGGCTGCGGCTCCGCGTCCTCGTCGTCGTTGGAGAAGATGTAGGAGACCCCGATGCGGGGCCCGTCGTCCCGGTCCACGCCCGTCGGGTCGGCGGTGGGCACTTCCTTGTAACTTAGGTGGGTCAGTTTCTCCACCTGGTTCCCCATCGCGCCGCGGACGGACGCGCGCGCTCACAGCGCCGGCAGCGGAGCAGGCGCGACCGCCACGGCGGGCATTGGCCCGGGGCCCCGGGCCAGGGCGAAAGCCACCTGTTGAAAGAGGAGGCGAAGAAGCTGTGTACGCGGGGAACCTCTCCCGGAAGAGACGTTCGGTTCTGCGGGAAAAGATCGGGGAAGGGGTGGGGGGCGGGGAAGGGAGCGAGCACCCGGAGTCATCTTAGGGGCAGTCTTTACAGCCTTTCCCTCCTCGCCCCACCTCTTAAGAAGATCGCGATTCAGGACGCCGGGCAAGTCCAGCTCTTCCCCACCCCCCATCACCTAGGCCCGGGCATTAGGAGCAGTCTCCACCGCTTCCGCCCGGTCCTACCTGCCAAACCTGGGCGGGAGGGGCTGAGGGAACGGAAACTTTGCTCCACCCTCCGCCCCTAACTTCCCTTCCTTCTGCCTCCAGGGCCCGCACCCACCCGGAGCCGCTGCCCGGCGCCCCGATCGCAGGGGCAGCCGGCCGGGACCCGGCGGGGCGCGGCAGGTAAGTCACCCTACCTGGCTCCCCGCGGCGCGGCCTCCGCCCGCCTCCCCCCGCCCCCGGAGGCCCCGGGAGGCTCGGGTTACCCGCGCCAACTCACCCGCCGGAAAGGGGGGGAGGCCCCGCGCGGCGCGGGGAGGCTGGCCCGGCCGCACCCCGCGACTTCTAGGACGAGTTTGCAGGTGTGGGCTCGGCCGTGCCTCCCCTGGCAGCGCGGGCGGCAGCTGAGCCGGGCCCCGGCGGGCGGCGCATGTCGAACCCCCGCGGTGGCGTTAGCGCCCCGAGACTTGAAGGGGGTGGTGGTGGGGCGGGCAATTCCTCTTCACGCCGCGCCCCGCCTCCCTCCCGCGAGCGCCGCGGTCCCAGCTCCCCAGAAGGGCAGACCGCCGTGCGTGCCGGTGGCGGCAGCTCCGGCTCGGCCCGGCCGGGTGAGCAACAAGCACCGGAGCGGGAGGGACTGGATTGTAGATCCGGCTCGGAGCTCCCGGGCGGGAGCGCAGCCCGTGGCATTTAAAGAGACAGGCACTCGCTCCCGGAGCTCGGGTCTTTCCCCGTGGAGCACTCGGGCGGCCTGGAGCCCCGCCCCGCCCCGCCCCCCCGGGCCGCGGGGCTCCTCCCTGGCCACGCCCCCTCCGTGCTGGGTTTAAAATCCCGCTGGTGCGGCGCCCACCCCTGGGACGTGCCTGGCCACCGCGTCCTGGGGAGCCAGCTTGGGCCACCTGCCAGCGGAGAGATTGGAGAGTGAGGACGAGTGCCACGTCTGTGCCTTTGGCCTCAGTAGTGAAGAAGCAGCAGTTGCTAGGGAATTTGGCTTTTTTCTTTTCCTGCCTGGAACGGTATTTTGCAACCCAGAAACTCAAGGAGAGGATTTCTCTCCTGTGGGACAGATCCGGGAGCGCGCAGGGTTTCCAGAAAGAGCCGCGCTGAACTTTGGGTGGAGAGACACACACACACACACACACACACACACACACACACACACACACGGACAAGCACACAGTTACCATCTCCCACCACCACTGGTCTGTTTATTAAATGTCCCTCTTTTTCTTTTTCTTTTTTTTGCCAGTCATGGGTCGTCCCTCTTAGCATACACTGGATTCCCCCCGTTTCCTGGGGAACCCAGGTTGTTGGGCAGTGAGAAAAAAGCCTGCAGAAGTGGGGTGATGTGGGGTGGGGTGGGGTGGGAGCGAGATGTTCCTAATTGTCCTTAAATTAGAAACAAATTAGCTGAGGTCCCTGTGGGATGTATTTCCTTCCTACTGACTTAACGAGTGGGAAGTGACAGGGCTGTTGCTGCTTGTTTACTTGATCCACTCAAAGACATTTTTCCCCCTGCTGGTTTCATTTTGTATACCCAAGGCAGACTCCACAGAAGTGGCTTCTGTTTATATTTTAAAATAATAAAGCCTGGCGCCTGTAATCCTAGCTACTCAGGAAGCTGATTTTAAAGAGGATCCTTCTTGGAAGGAAGCCCAAGCAGGAAAGTTAGTGAGACTCTTTTATATCCAATTAACCACCCAAAAGCTAGAATAGTGAAGCTAGCTATGGCTCAAGGGGTAGAGTATCAGTCTTGAGTAAGAAAGCTGAAGGCCTCAGTACCAGCGCAAGAAAATAATAAAGTGAAATAAAATAATGCCTGACTCATTAAGAATTCTACTCAAGTCCATATCCTGTTTTCCATCACTCTACCTTTCAACTAAAAATTTCCAGGTAACGCCATTATTTATTCAGTGTGTATACCAACCAGTGGAAACAGAAATATACTAATACTCCTGCTGTCCTTTGTAGTTTGGAGAGCAAAATCAATCTACTTATGTACCGTTAAGCCGGAACAATCAATATTGTCAGGGCCATGATGGAAGTTAGTCCTATACCACATCTAAGATCAATCATAGTTTAAGCTTCACCAAAATGAGACTTTGGTGTATTACGCCGATATAAGTTAAATATTTTCAGAGTAGCCTCAGGTACATGTGACTGGGCAAGCTATCATCGCTGGACCTTTGGATAGCACATATTCTGGAGGCTCCTGACACATAGCTACTGCTCTATGGAGAGAGTTGCAATTGGTGAGACAGTTGCTGGGCTTCCTTCTGTCTGCCCGAAAATGGGAAACCTCTGCTAGACACTTTGCCCCTAGTGGCTGGGTGGGCTGGTTGGGGATGGGAGAATTGGTTGAAAGACATAGTAGTGTGACAAGTCCTCTGATGCCAGCACTCTAGATCAAAGATCTAATGGCTGAGGAAACCAGGTCTAGTTGTCTGTCTCTGCAGATTAACTAGATCTATTGAGCTGCAGAGTGGTGTTCCATTTTTTCAACTATAAAGATTCAGAAGGGACAGATCCTGTTCTGCTTAATATCTGTATATCTGGTATTTAGCAGCTGCTCACTAAATAGACCTTGCTGATTGGGGGAAGGGAAACCGTAGCCGTGGATCATAGGAATTTCATGTCAAAGTTGTGGGAATATAGCTTCGTAGAGTGCTCACCCAGTGTTCTCAAGACCCTGGCTTCTAATCCCCAGCCTTGCAGAACAAACAACTAAATAAAAAGCTAGCTGGTTTTATAAGCAGTGAGTGAACAGAAGATGCCTCTTGATAGTCTGCTTCTAATATGGACTTGTGTGTGTTTGTGTGTGTGTGTGTGCGCATGGGTGCATGCACGTGCCTATGCTAGGGCTTGAACTCAGGTCCTGGGTACCTCTCCCTTAGCATTTTGTTCAAGATGACACTCTACCACTTGAACCACAACTCTATTTCTGGCTTTTTGGTAGATGATTGGAGCTAAGAGTCTTACGTACTTTCCTACCTGGGCTGACTTCAAGTGGAGATCCTCAGATCTCAACCTCCTGACTAGCTAGAATTACAGCATGAGCCACTAGCACTGGATGGTTGTTTCTTTTATTAATAACTAAGGCTTCATCCTCCATCTAGTTACCTGAACCACTGGAACTATCTAGGGCTTTACCCTCCATCTAGTCCTTACAAAATGGCTTACAAATGGCCATTGCTTAATCTCAAATAATAAAAAAATTCAGATTTTTTCAGCTTCACTTAAAAAAAATCTATGAGCCTATCAGACTCATCCTCCAGGATGGTTACAGATGATTGGTGGCATCTTGCATCTTCTGCAGTGGATTCTAGCCCTTATCCCATTTACCTTCCTAGGTCCTTTCTCTGTGACCCTGGTGGTTGCTTTACTGGCCACCATATAAATCCAATACATGCATAGTCCATATATCCGTTAACTATAACTTAACACACAGTCTGGTACTGTTTTAGTCTTATTCTGTGATTCATGAATTCTAGAAGAATTGGATTCAAAGTATATTGAAGACATAGTAGGTGCCTGCTAGTCTTGTTTAACATTCATTCATTCTACTAGTTCAACAGGCCTTGTGCTAGATTATATTGATATTCATGTCCCCATAGATCTCACATAGAATAAGACACAGAGAAATAGACACCAGGAAACTGACCTGTCCTTCAAGAAGAGGAAATAGAGGATGCTGAGAGGGGGAACTGAATCTTGAGACTTGTAGATACAAGGATGAAGGCCCAAATGCCTACCATTAAGGGTTTTTGGATTAGTGGGGTAAATACCTCTAAAAATTAAAGATAACTCCCAGTGAATGAGCTGTCAATTCTTTTATAAAGAAGAAGAAGAGACAGATAGGCAATGGCTTCTCTATCCCTAGTATAAGAGGGGAGGATCATACAAGTTTGTGTTCATTTTCAGGGTGTAGCATTTTTAGCCACTTAGTTTTCAATAGAAAAGCACAGATTCTATATTTAATAAATACTTGAGTGTCTGCTTTTACCAGGCTCTGGGGATATAGCTATGAACACAGCAAACACAATCCTCCTTCTTTCGGCATTTACATGTTGGTGGCATGTGAGAAGTAAAATATGAATATGGATATCTGAGAGAGGGAACATGGCGTTGGGGAGTAAAATAGGGTGCTAGGATTAAATACCTGCCACTAAGGAGGTTGTGACAGGTGGCCTACTTTGGATACGACACTCAGGGAAGATGCCTAAAGAAATGGAAGTTAAGACTTGGAGAATGAGAAGGACCGGCCTTGGCACTTTCTGCAGAAGAAAAAGCAAATGTCAGTGGTAGGAAAGAACTGAGATGTTTCAGGAACAGGAAAAACAAAAACCAAACCACCCAACTGTAACTTGTGCACAGGAAAGGGGTTGTCCTGGACCATGTTGGTAAATAGAGGCAGGCAAGCCTGAGAGTCTAAGGCTATCTCTGCCCATGGGGAATGGACTTAGAGAATCAGAAAAGGATGTGGCTACTGCTGACAGCCAGGCCGGGCTGTGGGGATGAAAGGCAGACCCAGCCCAGTGAACAAAGAGTACAGCGTGTGAATCTCCTTCCCAGCTGCTGCCTGTCCATGAAGAAAGGTTACTTGGGTCTGGATGCCCTTCAGCCATGACCCAACTGTCACATCCCACACACCTCCCTGGGGGAGGCACTGGATTAAAAAAAAAAAAAAGTTGTGCTGAGAGCTAGTTAGTGACCCTTGCTGTTCCTGTCCAGGCTGGTCAGGATGACTTGAAAATTGACATTTCTCCCTGAGGCCACAGCCCTGATGCTGCAGGTGTGGTGGAGATCTCAGTTAAATGAAGCAGCTCATTCCAAGAACACAGGACTGGAGCTGGGGATGGGGGAGGGCAGAACTCTAGAGAGGCAGTGTAGAGCTCAGTCTGCCCCCCCCCCCCCTCCAGGAAGACAGAACTCTCGAGTTAGGCAGTGTAGAACTCTGGCCTGTCCCTAGCTTGGCCCCAGGGGGAAGATACAGAACTCTCTGATTCTGAACTCTGGCTTATTCCCCAGCCTAGGCCCCAGGCTCAGGGCAGCAGGCCACAGCCCAGTGATCGTGCTGGAAAACAGATTCCTTCCCTCCTCCCTTACATTTGGAAACTTGTAGACCTACCTGTACCTGTTTTTCAGCTACTGGGCTTCTGTGGCCACCGTAGGAGGTA